TTTGTTGGCTATCTTTGTAAATGTAGGACAATGTGACATCACTGCAAGATTTAAGACAACGGTGTGATTATATCTTCAGCTAGACTACTTTGTTACAGGACGTTGACTATTTAAGTATATGCATGAAATGAATATATTAATTTATTCACCAACTGTAAAAACATTAAGTATATCTGTCATTTAATTTTACGTACCTATTCTTTAGTGCTAAAATTCTATAAAACACATACAACACCACACACATATACAAACCCTCACTACTGAAAAACCATGTAAGCAAACCTAACAAAACAAAGTCAGTTGTGATGAAATTGGTATTATAAAAGTTAATTGTATTTTTATAAATGTAATTTTATAGAGTCTAGAAATATTTTAAACTTTTTATGCACATCATAAAACATTCAGACATGGAAATTAAAATAGAATGCTACATAGAATTAAGTTAAATGTCACTTTGTTTCACACACTTCATTTGGAGCTCCCTATGAAAAGAACAATAAAAGAGAAATAAGTTTAGGAGAGCTCTTCTGGTAGTTTCTAGGCACAAGGGATTGTAATAGAATGAGAAACAGAAGGCATTAAATTAGGGCACCAGGAAGAAAGGCAGCACTTACAAGACTCATAAATGACTCACTATGTCAAATAATGATGTGGAGGCTTCTGAAGGATGCTGGACAATTGGTTTGAACAAGGAGATGGAAGTAGGGATGCACAGGAAACACAGACCACGGGGAGGAAGACAACATATAGCTTTTCTAGGCACACAGCACTGACTAATGATAGAAACCATCTTGTAAATTATCAAAAAATTTGAAGCTTAATAAAAAAAATTCAAAAGGGTTCTGTGTCAAGCTAGACTAAATCTTGACTACTCAATAGACTAAATCTTGACTACTCAATAAATTTTTTTTTTTTTTTTTGGTTTTTACGAGACAGGGATTCTCTGTATTGTTTCGGAGGCTATCGGTCCAGCCTGGCCTCGAACGCACAGAGATCCGCCTGCCTCTGCCTCCCGAGTGCTGGGATTAAAGGCGTGCGCCACCACCGCCCGGCTCAATAATTTTTGATTCAACAACATAACAGTTATTCTGTATTGATTTATTTAAAGTGGATGGCTATCATACTATAACATGCATTTACTTTCACTATCTTTGTATGAAATAATAATATTGGTGACACACAACTGATCAGAATGTCTTCATTCAAATATATTCAGCGTTTCTGTAAAATGAGTACAAGGATCAAGAATCTAGCTATTCTTTCACTCACTGTAAAGAAATAAAAATAAAACTACAATTTAAGGGGAAAATATTAGTGCTTTGAAGAAATTCAGAGTTTATTTTAGAAGACAAACTATTAAACTTACTTATTTTTATGCTTTATATTTAGCTAAAAATAAGTATATATTACTAAAGTTAGATATTTTAATGAGTCTATAAAACAACCCTAATATATTTATTTTTATTAAGATGAATTATCTCCAAAATAAATTAGGATTCTATTTTTAAACCTTTTGCCTAACAATATTTTTCCACTGTTATGGCCTCAAAGTAGTAAATTAGCAGGGAGACATTATTCTACTATGAAACAATAATACAGAGAACATGCAAAAACACCTAAATAGAGGAAATTTATGCCATTTAATATAGTTTTCTTCTTCATTTTTAAACTTACAAAGTGGATGTTGTGATGTAGAAAAGTCATCAAGAGAAAGGACCCAGTCTTTCTTCTTCAAGACTTTCACCCTTACCTTAGAAGATGAAGAATCACATTCCTGACAAATCCATCCATAGCCTGTTTGCTTAGGAGATTTTTTCAAAGGAGGATCTAAACAGCCAAAATGGTAGCACAGTCTGCATTCATCACATCTGTAGGGTAAGCAGATTCACAGTAGATCTAAATATTCAAAGTACTTATTTCACAGACAAAGGGACAAAGTGCTATACACTATTACTTTAACACTTAATTCTATACTTTGCTCAGGAAGAGTCTGAAATTAATGTTTATAATAAAGGTGATCTGAATCTTAAGTAAATATTAGAGAGGAACATGGAACAACCATAAAATTTCCAAGACAACAGTCATTCATTCATAACATTCTGATAATAAAAATGTTAAGTGCATGAATGTTAAGATATGAATGAATATATAGGTATAATCATATGTGCAAAAAAAACTAGCAATCAAAAATCCAACTTTGAACTAATAAACCATTTATCCAGTAGAAGTCTAAGCTCTAATTATTGCCATACAAATTATACTTCATTTCTGTATTTTTCCAAGTTATACTGTAAGTGAACTTACTAACATTTATAGCATACTAACACAACCTACAGCAAATACAATCTTTGTATATTAAGTAACAGACTATTTGAATATACAAGCAGAAACCACCTCAAGGACTGAATATTACTAGTTTCTGTCAAGTTCTCTCAGTGCACTTAGTGTTTCAAGTACTTCCAAGGATATTTTACACTTGGCATATGTTTTGATAATGTCTTGCCTCTTATGATGTACATAATCTAAGAAAACTACCATACCTATTCTTCGTTTCAGACAATCTCATCCTGCTGACAATGAAGAAAAATCTGTATTATTTCAGTGTTTTTAAAAAGAATTTTTCATCAACTAGAATATCAAGACCAAAATTTAACAACCAATATCAAGTTGTATACATTTTACAGAATGGGCTATATTGTTTTCTTTGTGCTCTAAATTAAACAGAAATACTTTTTTTAAACCAACTGAATTCTCTTTATTACTAATTTCTCACTGCTTAGAGTGTCAAAAGTCAATTAATTAAAAAAACAAGGATGAAATTATTAAGCAGACTGCTTGAATACAATACATAATCCCTATTTAATAAGCATTGGGAAAATACAGAAAGGAGTTAATCTTAAGCATATGCCACAGAAAGAAAACTAACTTTAAGAAATGATCACAATAAAGCAAACGATAATCTGTATTTTTAGTAAAAATTTCTTACCATGTTACAAAAACCTAGTCTCTCAAGGATCCATTTCAGGATTCAAGAGCCAAGTTATCCAGGCACAAGCAAGTGTGAGACAGTTAATTGCCATCGATTACCCATTATTGCACAACTCATTTCTTATCAATGAAATAAGTGAATGAACTTTTCTCAAACCTTTGAGACTCATGAAATTAACTATACTATAATTATACATTTACTGTAATTTCAGTTACAGGAGTGGATAAAATAAAAAGAGAACTAATAAATGACATATATATGCATATATATACATATTTATTTCAACCATATATCACTGGTTGAAATAAAAGCATCCAAAAATATATTTAAAATTTTAAATGTTCAAATACCGTTGCTCTGGCATTCAAAAATAAAGAGTATGCCGGGCGGTGGTGACACACACCTTTAATCCCAGCACTCGGGAGGCAGAGGCAGGTGGATCTCTGTGAGTTCAAGGCCAGGCTGGACCGACAACCTCCAAAACAATACAGAGAAACCCTGTCTCGTAAAACCAAAAAAAAAAAAAAAAAAAAAGAGTATATAGCTAATTTCAAATGTAAAATACGAATACCATACAGTAAGCCCTTAGAATTCAGGGTCTTTTCCTTTCTCAACTGAGCTAGTTTACATTTCAGTAGTTAAAATTTCCATAACACTAAATATTGGGTTACAGAAACCTTTGAAGTATGACCTTTTCTAAACTGAAGAGAAGGTGCAGAGTCATAGATAGAAAAGGAACACCGCTTTAAGGAAAGGGGTTAATATGTCACTAATCCTTGATGGCAAATTTATAAAGAATACCATTATCTGGTGCATACCATTTTTTGGAATACATAAAATATCATCTTCTCTTCCTTTGCTACACTAGGATCATCAGTCTGAATTACAGTTGATACTACATTTCTGTGTCAACTTTCTGTAGTTAAAATACCATTCACCTGTTGTTTTGCCTGATTCCTTAAAATTTTTCAAGGACTTGGGGAAGCTTAATTGCTTAAAAACTACCAGCCAATCCTCCTAATACTGTAAGTATATTTTTGCAACAATAATTTTCTTAAAGGAGCTTCTGTATGCAGAATTTAGACCACCAAAATTATTAAGATTGTGAAAGATGACAATATTTGAAATGAGGCATCTAAAATACATTAAACAATTCAAATTATCCAATACCTGTTCTGGTATTGGTAGCTCTTTCAGAAGATGCATTTGCTCTTTTGAGAAGACCTAATTCTTCCTGACACCTTCATCAGGGTACATTTCAGGACGTCTTTCTCATGATGGCGGACAATTGGGGGTGTTAGGATAGTTCTATAAGATCCTTGCTTACTCACCAGGAAGTAAAAGCTGCAACTCCAATTTTAAATAGCATAAAGTGGTGGTCTCTGCCCTTAGCAACCACCAAAATCCAAGAGACAGAAAGAAAAATGCAGAGAGAAACACCCCATTTGAAATCAACAGGTTTGCTAAGTAAATAATAAATGTAAGATATTAAATGGAATTTTACAAGTTATTTTCATGTAGAAAAAAAGATTAGTCGATTCTGTTAAATTTAAACAAAATAATACTTTTATATACTGGTAGCAATTATAACTTAAATGGCAGAGGTTAAATCTAGCAAAAGTTGCAAAATTTTGTGATAACTAAAAAGCCATTGACAAATTTCAGAGATATTATTAAAGCCCTCAAAACACAAAACAGATTAAAATAATAAAGTATATTCCAAATGCACACACCATTGTGAAATATTTATCAAAATTTAACAACTAGAAAATTCTAGCTACATAAAAAAATTTTCAATGTTTTTAAAACTCAAAAACTAAGTCTAAGGTGGCGATACCCTGAAGACTATAAAAGGATAAAAATAGTTACTAATCAATTTTACTTAGTTTCTAGTTCTTGAAACAGTACTTGAAAACACTTTAGTTGCAGCAATACAATAACATACTTAATTTGTCAAAAATAAAGTGAATAAAAACTAAGTTTCAAAGGAAGTCAATGACCCACAAAAGTATTGTGATATAACACAACATACTTTATTCAACAAAACAAATATGTATGTAATAAAAACATTATTATACCAACAGGACATTATAAAAAGAAGGCAATACCTTAAACAAGAAAAGAGAATATAGAACTAGCATATGAATGTCTTTAAATTAAATGTAAACCCGATGTTTAAAGTATCTAATAAATATTGCACACATTAGACTACAGAGTATCCTATAATTACAGCTTAATGAAATGAAACAAACCGATTTATAATGTAAAACAAAACCTGACTAATTAAGTACCTATTAAATACAACTTCCTACATACTACATACATATTTGATACAGATAAAATGACAGAAGTGGTCTTTTACACATTGATTTAGCAAAACATAGAGACTAAACACAGCTCTATCTGTATTAAAATACTTAGCATATTGATTAAGTATAGCACCCTACACAAAGCAGAGACCATGACTGATCTTCATAAGTGCTATGATCCACAAAGCATTAAACTAGGTGTTGAGTGACTACTGACAATGAGGAAACAAGCAAAAATATGTAACTGATTTATTTTTCTCTTGTGCCTAAAGGCAGGCTAGGCAAAGCTCGAAAGCAGTGGTCCTCAACCTGTAGGTCATAACCCCTTTGGGAATCAATGAACCTTTCTCAGGGATCACCTAGGACACAGATACTGACATTATGATTCTTAACAGTAGCAAAATTACAATTATGAAGTACCAACAAAAAACAATGGGGGTCACCACAACATGAGGAACTGTATTACAGGGAACACAGCATTAGGAAGGGTTAGAAACACTGCTCTAAAGGTTTCTTTACCTTTCTTAATTTCCAATTAATAAGTTCATTTGGGGCACACACTAAGTAACTACTTAAAACAAAAATAAAACTAGATGAAATAAGTGAGTACGCCTCCTAAGCAGACAGTCTATGGCCACACGATAAACTGGTCTTTTGAAAGAGACCAAATCTGTGGCTCACACTTAAAAGTGCTGTCCTGCTTTAGGGTCGCACTAGTGCTGGTAACTGTAGAAATTTTGTTACCTTAATGGAACACGCTACTCAGTATTCCCTCCCACTCTATACAATGCTGAATAAAGAACTGTCTCTGAAACTATGTAACATTGCATTTTTCATGTAGAAACAAGAGAACAGATTTGGGGGGGGGGTGTCTGCCTTTCCTATAGATCAGTCTTGAGTATTAATACTGCTTAAGCAAAACCTTACTAGCAATTCAAACACAAATTTAGCAACTACAGTGATAGGCTATTTCAGTGAATAGTGGCCAGTCCTTTCAATTGAATGTCTTAGTAGGTAGAATAAATATATACTGAGGCCCCTTAGAAATTTAAATAATACAAACTGTCACAAAACTCTTATGTTCTATCAATGGTAAAGTACTTATAACTAAGATATTTTATTCTTTATAACATTTAACAATTTTATCTCAAGCCACCTACATAAGCATTTTCTACACAAATTAATTAGAAACTGTGTTTTAAGTCCTATCTCACAAATTTTATACCAGTGTGGAACACATGAACCTATTTCATCAATGCTAATGGGGGCTTCAATCATGGACCACAGTGAGAGTGGGTAATAGGACAGTCTAAAATTCTTCATTACAGATGAACACAGACAACTGAAACACTACTTGGGAAAAGTCAAATCCAAATCCACTTAAAGAGTGGATTCAATTCATTATCTACATCTACAACAGGCAGCTTGCAACTTTAAAAGTGAAATGAAAACAACAACAACACAAAAACTAGAACATGAAACAAGGCAATTCATATGAAAATACACAGTAAGGTCAAGTATCTCTTCACAGCATGAGAGAATGATTAGACATTTCCACACCTGAAACACGTCTGCTTTGTTCTTTAATAAACTCATCTCCATCTGCTCATGCCCTTGGAAATTGTTTAGCACTCCAACCTGCTGTGTTCAAGCTCCACATAACTTTGTATTTTCCCGTTCATAATTAACTAATTATACACCAATCAATAGTGTAGAAGCTGATTTTACAATGTAAATCAGGCAAATGAGATAATGGCTAGGGGGTCAATCTCATTTTATGTGCCAAGCCCAGCATGAACATTCAATTTCATTACATCTTATGTACCTGAACAGCTGTCAATCTTCCTAGCAGGCCTAGAGCACCTTAGGGTGAGCACTACAGGAAAGCAGCCTACTTGGTTTTTTGTTTGTTTTTTATTTAAAAAATCCCTTGTAAAACCTGTCTCAGTTCACAATTCTTACTGTTACCTAAATTTACAAAGTGATGGCTCAGGCAGATATAAACAAATTCTGCCTTCATATATCTTGTCATCTGTTATATCTGCCTATATGTCTTGTTAAGTCTCTTTAATAGGTTTTACTAGTCTAAATTAACAATATTTTGAAAACTGTTAATGTTCTAATCTATTGCAGAGTCATTCCGAATTCTTAAGCAGATTTTGGTGAAACATTCCTTACTGTGAGTCAAGTAAAACATACCGATGAGGTGCGTGTATATGTGTGTTTAAAGTATAATACTTTAGGTGCTTAAAAAGTGTTTCACCAAAAATCAAGGTATACAAACAGGGAATCAGGGTAACAAAAATGAATATTATTTGTCAGAAATCTGTTTTTATGCCACATGTAATAATAATAAACATTCAGGAAACATAAAGTACAGTGATACATAACTGATACATAAATACCTAAACTTAAAAATACAGGCTAAAGTTAAATATTGTTTTTATGACATACATAAGCCTAACTCTTAAAAGAAAAATACGAAAAGACCACAACATTTTGGGCAAGAGGTGCTGCTCTGTGAAATAAATGTTTAAATGAATTTTTAAAAATGAAGGAAGTTGTATTTTATGTGTTTCAGAAGAAATCACTTTTCTACAAAGCCTCTGTCTACAAACAAATAGTTTGAGAAATCTGAAGCCCTAAAAGATATCCACACTCACTATTAATCAATACTGGATATATGATTATTAAACAAATACTGTACATTAACTGTTATCAAGGGAATGTCCCTGACCAGCTAAATCAACATTATTCTGAATCTGCTAGAAATTCAGATTTTTGCAACTCAGCACACATCTACAGAATTAAAAACTCCAGAGGCAGAGAGAGACAAGGTGGAACAGGAGGACAAGGAAATGATGATAACCAACCAAGTCTCGACAAATTCTTCCTGTGACTCTGATGCATTTCTACCATATCATCCATTGTGTATTTCAGAGGCAGTAAATTTCCTTCCCAATGTTGTGTAATGTAAGTACGTGTGTGTGTGTGTGTGTGTGTGTGTGTGTGTGTGTGTGTGTGTGTGTGTGTGTGTGTGTGTGTGTGTGTGTGTGTGTGTGTGTGTTGGCCTATCATCCTGCTCCAGAATCATCCACCATGTTTTGTGAGGTAGGGTCTCTCATTTGCCTGGTACTTGCCCCGTGTATATGGTGGCTGACCAGTAAGTCACAGAGACCCTTCTGTCTCTGCCCGCAGCACTCACTGGGATTACAAGTCTGAGCCTAGGCCCAATGCTTATATGCATTTTACTAAGTAAGCACTCTCCCATCCCCTTGTTAATACTTGTTAACTGTCAAATACCTGAGCTGTCACTCTCTTTTACATGTATTTATAAGCTATAAATAATTTAGAAATATTTTCTTAGATAAACATTAATTTTCGAGGGAACTTGTTTCTAATTTAAATTTAAATTTAAAAAATAACTAATGAAAAAAACAATTAAAAAGCTGAATGTTTCTCTTTAAGTAAAATTACGGCTTAATATATCTAAATTTTTGCAAAAGAAACCAAAAGAAAAAACCATTATTTTTCCTCTTTAACAGCAATGGAATAGTAATGGGTAAAAGTTAATTTTCTCCTGTTATTTAGAAGATTATTAAGAGAAAACATTTTACTCTGTTCTCTTCAGAAGATGGAGACTCGTAAGAACCTATTATGTAGGAACTGTGCAACTTATATCTGTAACATGTGAAAAACATGGGTTGTTTACCAAACTTAGAAGAGCATAATTTACCACTGAAAACTAAAAGATGAAGAATGTTAAAGGGTTTGGTTAACACTGACATTACAACCACACTATCTATAATTTCTCAAAACCAAGACAAAAACCCCTAAGAGGGAAAGTGAACCCTAAATTACAAAAATACCCATTAATGTTTTCCTATCTTATGCTAAAAGACAGCTGGCCTAAAGCATAGTTCATTTGAAAAATGCTAATCTGCCATTGCCATTTTTCATAATATTTGCTGGAGTTTACCAACTTTTCCATAAATTAAGTAAGGATCGTTGGTTCTTCCTTATACTTAAAGAAAGCATACTGCTTTTCCTAAGGATTATGGATACTGTCTCCAGTGCTATCAAATTTATTAATAAATAAATAGTATCTTTATACATTATTTCCTACATGTTTAATTTTACTAAACATTTTATCCAATCATATGGTTTCTATAACTATAGATTACTAGAGACACCAACTTCACAATTACACATACAATCGCTAGCTACAGCATCGTCTATTCTATTCCTACAGTTTAAGCTATTCCAAATACCCCTACACCTGGAAAGATCCAAATCCGCAATGATAAACAATGGAATTCCAAAAGACAATTTAACACTTTACATGTATATGTGCACTTCAATTTCAACAGTCTCTTCTAAACCAGTTCAAGATTAAGTGATGCAATATTCAAAGTATTTCTGCCGTTGACTTAAAACTGGGCCAGTAAAGCGTGAAGATCAAATGTAAACTCTGAAACCTCTGGGAAGACATAGGTGCTGGTGAAGATCTTTCAGCAGGCAGGCTGTATACTCAACAAGCTCTGTATCTCCCTCGTTTCACAGCTTCACTTTTAAGTTCAAAAAGTAAAATTACATGGAACACACAGAGTTCGTATTAAATAGAACAATAAAGAATTAATTTGGGCATTTCTGAAAAAAAGTACCTTCAGACTAATACAGATAGTCAGTTTATGCTTGAGCTTAAATTCTAGTTATAAAATGTCCATGCTAATATTAAGTGCTTTCAAACTACTTAACACCAGAAAGTTGTAATCTTCACCAGTCTTTCACTTTTGCTGAATATCACAAATAGAAATAATATTAAATTTGAGTCTAGAGTTGTTCTCATTGCAGAATTTCTTTCGTGTATGAATACATGTAGTAAGTAAGTTGATACAGACTTGCAGATCAGTGGCAAGCATTGTCCTTTTACAAACAAATAACGGAGATAACTGTTCAACAACAGGGAAGCCCAGAGCATGTAAGTCCCACTGGCTTCCCTTACTCTTCATTGAGTCCAAATAGTGTATCGTCTTGTGCCAACGAAGCAAGAGGGAAAGACATTTACAGTTTTGACAAGACATTACCCACTGTTGTTTTTAATAATGTGTACACCAAGTGTTTCTTACGATTGTAACAGAAAAAAATTAAAGAGTAAAGAGGGAGAAAGAAGAAGACAATAGAAAGAAAAAAAGGAAAAAAATCCACAGACAAATTAACTGCCTTGTCTACCCATATAACAGACCAATCAATTACATTCTATCCAAACCTGACAAGCAAAAGCACTTTTTTTTTGCAGTGATAAGCTTATGGGAAGGACAAGATAGCTGTTCTCCTTTAGTTTATATACTCTATTGAGAGTTTAATCCACATTTTTAAAACCACACTTATAAAAGAGGTTTCCGGGATTGCCTCCGAGGATGAGCTGTGGCAGACTTGGGTCTCATGAAGGGTATCTACACAGTAAAGTGATAAGAAAAGAGCATTAACATTGAAAGATCATAGCAGCTCTGCACTATGTCTTATGAAACATACTAATAATACCACAGTAGATTCAAATAACAGAGATTAGAAACCCTCATGCTAAATGTCGTGGTCTTGGACAGGTTCTCACGGATTACAAGCAAATGTTTTATCTTTTGAACACTGAGTTGTCTCCTCTTGCATTATTGCTAATAGTTCTGATTCTAAAATCAATCTACTTTATGAAAAGAATGCCTTAACTATAAAGGAAAACATGTATGATCAATTACTATTTGAAGACAGCAGCACACTGCTTTCATTCAGAGGATGGCAGTTTTGTAATGCCTGAGGAAACATGCAGCTGCATCTCCTCCCCACACTGGTTTCCTTTGAAACATACTGTATAAGAAATTCATGGTAACGTTATCAGCGAACTTGGTGTCTTGCTTTTGAGAGGAGAAATCTTAAGGGCTTGGAGGCTAGAAGTAACTATTTTTTCAACTATGGTAGAAACAAAAGTTTACCATTTCTTTCACATATTTAGAACTGCATATATGACATAAAATTGCTATATAGTCATACATCATAAAAAGTTCATTTTTATTTAACTATCGGAAAGATGTGTTTAATGCTTCTAAGTTCCACTGAGAAAAAAGAAAGTGAAAAGAGGCACACAGAGAAATAAAGCAGTGCTGAGGAGAGCTGAGCTACCACATCAGAGACAAAGAAAGTACAAACAAAACTTTTCTACAAGGAAAAGAATATAACGCAAAACAACGCTAAAAGAAATGCTGTACTTATCCGCACATGACAAGCAGTAGCAAGAGCTGGACTCTGGCCAAATAGGAAATTTGAGCTAAATTTATCTGTACTTCGGTCTCTACGAGAAGAGCTTTGAGCACAGTGGAAATCTGATGTTTACTTTGTCAGGACTTTAAGCAGTATTGGGAAAACATATTCTAGAGGAAGTACCCATTTATAATGCAAGTACAGTTCACTCTCATTTATGTGCAAAATCATGGAGACTAACAGATAACCAAAAATAATTTATAATTACTTGGGATAGTCCTTTGAATAGGGATATATAATATATCAAAGAAATCCACTTTAAACTCCAATTCAACTGGACTGTGGGGAAACCAAATAGTTACTCCTAATATTCCCTTTAATACTAATTTTCATTTAAATGTAAATGCTACAAAATCGTGTAACTTGTCTTCCATAAGCTCAAGATAAAAGACACTAATATTTTAAATCAAAGATCATGTTTTAACCTAGCAGTTACTTTATTTGTATTTAGAAAGCTTCCTTTGAAATTAACATAGAAAAATATTTTCAAAGAATTTCACAGATGAACCAAAAACTATAAACATGTTCTGCAGCTTGTGTTAGCTGTTGTGCTATAAGAATTATCTACCTGTTTGGCTAAGCCGCCTATATTAAATCAGCACAGTGTGGTGAGATACTGTGCCTAGACAAGTACGTGAGTTTGATAGCTAAGATGCTTGTATTCAATATACATCTTGATCACACTCTAAGTATGTGATCTTAGGCAAATAATTCTCCATTTCCTCACTCCCAGAATAGGAATAAAGTGAGTTTCTGTCTCCTGTCTGTATCATAGAGATGGATGCTGTGGGGACTAAAAGAGATCAATATGGAAAGCACTAGCAACATGACAGGAACACAATGAGTGGGACCAGGTAGGAAAGCTAGCAGACCTGTCAAGCACTACAGAACTGTTTCATAGTTGAAACTAGGTTTTCATACATAGCAATTCATACAATGTACTTTTAATATATGCTTGGGTTGATTCAATTTCACATTGCTTGCTGCTTCTATACCACAGATCATCACTCATACCTGTAAGGAGATATTCATATCTCACAGGTCTTACAGAACTGGTAGACAGTAGTACATGCAGAGAACAGAGTCTGGGACAGAGAATTTAATATGAGAATTATTATAAATACCAGGTCAAGGATATTTGGAAATAACACTCCTTTGTACCTGTTACAATGCATCATTTTCTAGGTAACATAATTCACCATCAACCCCCAAATCTGTACTTTATCCTGTCACATTATCTTTGCCTCTTAGATCATTAATATGATGTATTTTATGCATCGCCAAACACAAAAACCAATATAAACTAAAACCCCTGCTACACAAATAACATAAAATAGGTTATTCATTTTCTATAAATGAAATAAAACCAAGAAAGCAATGCAGTTGGGTTTTAACACCATTTGTTTTGTGGTTCTAAGGACTGAAAGTTTTGAGGAAAAACATGGTGGCTCACTTGGAGAGAAACTGTCCATTTCTGACTAGAACGGTTTCACACAATAAGAGGTTTGAATGTCCTTCTCTAACACAGTTTGTTTTTTGATGCTTGGTCAACACTGGCAGATAATGTAAGTCCTAAATGAATGGGGAGGCTATACTCTTCCAGATTCTTTCCAGACCCGGATATTATCTTTTTTCTGGAATCACTAAATTATAAATTTTATAAAACTTAAAAAGAAAAGTCAAAGCTTTCATATTACAAATGATAAAGTGACTAGACGTAATTTAATGCAAGGAAATTCATCTAACCAATAACAGAACTGATTAGAGGTTCCATTCTGCATGTTTGAATTGCACCTGTGTGTGAGTGCGTGTGCAAATGTGCATGAATATAGATGGGTGAATGTGAACATGTGTGTGGAGGCTACAAGCTGAAATCAGTTGTCTCCCTCAATCACACTCCAGTGTATTATAGTTATTTATTTTCTTGAGATGGAGTCTCTCGTTAAACCTGTCGTCCACTGATTCATAGAGGCTGGCAATCCAGCAAGTATCTGGCTAGATCCTCTGCTTCTGCCTTCTGGTGCTGGGATTACAGGCACACCCTGGGATTACAGGCATACCCTAGGATTACAGGCATACCCACCATACTAACTTGTGTATGGTACTGAGGACTGGAACTCTGGTTCTCATCCTTACGTAAGAAGCATTTTACTGACTGAGATCTCTCTGCAGCCCTAAGGAGAACCACTCTTGCTACATGATTAATATAATCATTGATGTCTATAATAAGTAACATTCTTGTATAAGTTAGCAATATAAATATACTACAATGGAAAGTAAATTTAAAATTCAAAATTAACCTTACGGAATAGATAAATGAATAAAACGAACATTAAATGTGCCTGAAACCAGTATGTTTCCTATTTACAATTTAATACCTCAGAAACAACAGACTTCACTATATAATCATGTATATATAAACCATACACAAGTTTCTGTGATTTTTATACGTGTCAGCTTTACAATAGTTTTATACAATCATGAAGAATTATGTATAAATCCTGGTAAATTAAAAACGTGAGTCAAAAATATCCTTAAAGGTTTAGTTTTCCTGTATATTTTAAATTTATACAGGAATTATATGACAAAATTAAGTAATTCTGTAAATATTACATGGGAAATATGTTAGTCCCTGTACATGCCTAATAATAGTAATAAATCAGCTCAATTAGGAACATTAGAAGGCAAAGATGGGGTAAGTGAACATTTTGTTTTTAGCTCAATTTTTTAGAAACCTTAATAAGAACAATTCAGTAGCAGCTGGGCTGCTTTCATACCCAGATGTGGATGTGTGGAAACTGATAACCCTTTCCCAGTCTTTACTAATAGAAATGCATCCTTTAAAAACTACTTTTAGGAGTAAGGATACTTTAGGGCATTCTGCTGACTTTCTAATTCCTTCTTCAGAATCTAGTCTTGTCATGATGCACTACTAAGCAAGACTTTACTTCTACAGATGTTGACTTTAATTGCCAAGCATTACTTCTTGTAAAGCAAGACAGGTCAAAAGCAACAAGGAAAAATTCCTAGTGGAAGGGATAGTGAAGAAAATGTTTAAAAACAGCAATGAAAAGAGCCCAGTATTAAAACTTTATACTCTCCTGTGTACTCTTTTGTGCTATAAGCCTTCTTTTCTTCTAAACGGTTCAACAGACATTCAAGGCAGTTTAGAAATAAAGATATTTAGAGATTTCAGTGAAGAACTGCTGGTCTGGAAAGTTATGACAAAGGAGAGCACATGACCCACATAACAGCTAAAACACTGGGGAGATTTCCTCATTGATTTCAAGAATTATACACAGAACTCAAATCCTGTATATTTTACTGGGCAAAAGAAAGACCCAGAGGTTATAGGAGATGGTAGAGCAGAGTTACTGAACTCAGGCAAAGACTAGCAGTAAGAATGAAAGTATTCTTCATACTGACTTCCAACACTGGTCATCAACAATGAATGGTAGTTTCCTTCCCCCAACATCCCTGGCAGCACTTGTCAGCTGTTTATTGATCTTGGCTATTTTGACTGGAGTAAGGGCAAATATCAAAGTAGTCTTGATTTCTTTTTCCTAATCACTTAAGTAAGTTCAACACTATCTGAGAAGTTTCAGCATCTACTTTTATTTCTTTTTTTTGAGAACTGTGGTCAAATCCAGAGCTCACTTTTAGTTGAGTCATTTTGATTCCTTGGCTCCTTGTTTTTGTTTCTTTTCCTACTTTTTTTTTCAGTTCCTTGAGTATTCTGAATATTAATCCTCTATTAGAAGTGCAGCTGACAAATATTCTTGCCCACTCTGTGGGCTTCGTCTTCACTTGCTTCTTTCGTTGTACAGAAACGTTTCAGTTTTCTGAGGTGCCATTTGCGAACTGTTGGTCTTGATTCTGAAGTGAATGCAATTCTAGTCCAAAAGTCTTTCCCTACAACCTACATTTTGTAGGGTACTGTTTATATTTTCTTCCACCAATTTCAGCACCTCAGGTTTCACATAAGATCTATCTATGATCCATTTGGAGGTTATTATTATACAGCATGCTAGATACTTGTCTAACTTCATTCATCCACACATGGACATCCAGTTTCCCCAGCATCATTTGGTCAAGATGTTCTTTTCTCCAGTGTGCAACCACTATGGTAATGAGTGTGAGAATT